TGTTTTTTCATCATTCAATTCACACGTAACGAAATCCTTTACGCTTCTAACTTGCGTTTGCGCGTCGTCGGCATCAACAGTTGTGCCAACATTTTTATTTAAATTGTACATAGTCGCGAATGCGTTCAAGAAACATTGGCTAGTCTGCAGCAATTCATGTATAAATGACCATTTAAGCGCTGTCACATATAAAATATTCGAGGCATTCAACGTGTCTGTTGTTGCTTCCGCCGACTTTTCGGCGGCGCTCGCTGCGTTGTCCATTTGTTGGTTAAATGTTAATGCGTTGAATTGAAAAGCGTTGTAAGCGCTGCTATTTAGTAGCAGTTTAGTGAGGCGTTGACTAAGCAACACTTGTTCTGGATTGCTTTCGCCCAAAAATGTGCCGTTATCGATGCCAATTTTGATCAGCTCACATATGCTATGCACTAACGGCGGCTCATAGAAGAGATCCTCCAAATGCGTAATGTTTTCTTCGTTGTAAAATGCTTTGATCAAACGTATATCAGCGCCCAAGTAGGCGACGAAAATATTCAAACAATCCTGTAAGATGCACATAGTAGTCACCGCAGCATCGTTTGCACGCGTTTCACTTGCCGGAAATGATATGTTGATAGGTGATATATTATTTGTTGCTTCGACATTAGCTGTGGTGGTCGTGCTTTTCGATGCACACGATTTATTTAATTTTCGGCTCTGCAACAATTCCACTTTGTATTGGCGAAAAGTGGGCAAAATGAGCTCAGCTAAAATACCAGCCGCCATATCGCTGCTTAATGTATCTGATATGTTTTTTAAATGTTTTAACAATAATTGCAGTGATGTCTCGCTTGTTTCTGCTGTGTTGAGCTTCTCATGCAGTTGCTTATACAACTGTAAAATCTCCTTGCGTAATTCAAGTGACTTTAATTTTGCGTCACATTTGGCACAACTCTCCGTCGTCCGTTTATGGTACATGATATGATCTTGCGTAAAGATGGTGTAAAGTATGCGGCGATGTAAAAATTTATAGGTACAATTTTGATATAAAAGCGTAAGTTGTGAAATCATATTCAAACACGAAGCATAGGTGTCGATTGTATAGTGACAGCAACAAATGCCAATGCGTAGTAAATAGCGTACGGTCGCTTCCTGCATATTCGTGGTGATCTTGGGTAGCAAATTCAGCAAAGTGCCCTGAAAGTAACAGGCTAAGGTCGGCACTTGTGTGTGACAATGCACTTGACGTAAGTAGCGACACCGCCTATGTGTATTGCCACCGTTCGTATAATTTGCATTGTTCTTGGTCTGCTGATCATGCTTACAGAGTTGTTCGTTGATCTTTAGTAGCGTTTTGAAGGTGAACTCAATGAGCAGACGCGTTTCGGCATGGGCAACAGCAGCGTTTTTTATTTTCTGCAACACTTGCTGAAATATTTTTATGGTTATCTCAATCGCATTCTCATTGATGAACTTGAAATCATGCAAGCTGATTTTGTTGCCACCAATTGTATGGGGTTCCTTTAATTTATTCGGGTGCATTATGATATTTTGCAGCGTGTAAAAGAAAACATAATTGGTTGCGCTGAGAAATTCCAATGCGAAATCAAGTGACGCGGTATTGCCGTTTGCAGCTGCATCCTCACATTTGATTTCTGTAATTTCAAAAGCATGCTTTTTCAGAATTACCGCCAACATGGTGAAAATAAATTGAAATTGTACAAGACTTATGCTGGCTGAAGCATTGAAAATATTATTGATACAGTTTATTGTAAGCTTTAGCAGTTCGAGTTTGATTGTGCTGGCATTCTGTTTCGTTGCATAAACGACATCATCACAACATAAACATTCCAATGCAAAATTTAATGAGATCATCGATACTGATTGACTATTTAGATTAGCTTCCAACTCGTTAGCAACGCATTTTGACATGATTTGCACCAGCAGATAAGCGATTTCATCGCTGCTTATAATGGTATTACGAAAAGTCTCCAAACTCTCCACGAACTGCTGCGCATCTAATAGCGTAGACCCATTTTTAGTGCCACAACGGTCGATATTGTGCGCGGTGCTATGCATGTCAACACCTGCCAGCTGAGGTGGCGCAATATTTGCAATAACATTTAGTATAGAAAGCGGCGTATCCAATATAAAATCCTTCGAATTCCATTTGCAGTTCGGAAACAGTTTGCAGCATAGACTGCAAAGTCCCTTTTGTGAAGCGATAAGCTGTGGAAATTTTCTTTCAATAGTAAATAAATATTAAATTCAGTCAAATATACCGTATTGTCTACACGTAGAAGGAAACGCAGCAAATGCTTGCCTAATTGATTTGTTAAAAAGTTGCGCAGTGCTATAATTTTACCCCAATCACTTGGTTCATTTAATATCAACTGCAAAGTAAGCAATTTTAATTAGTACTAAAATATCTTTACAAGCATATTTATTATATGTAATACAGCGAAAGTGTTGCTTACCGGCGTAAAACTTTGATTTATCAGTAAGGAATTTGTAACATTCGAGTTGCTTATCTCATTTTGTACTAGGTCAGTACTATCACATGCAGCTGTTTGTTCTGAAGGAATTGATGAGTGCGATTCGTTTATGATGTTACAAACTGTCTCCAATAGATAGGAGGTGATCTCTTCTGGTATATTGTGTAAAAAGCTGCAACAAAAATTAAATGAAATCTTTCAATAAGCCCCACATAACAATAAAGAAACATATATACATGCATGATAGTAAAGGAATATAAATGCAGTATTCATTTACAGTAAAGGAACATACATATATTCGAATAAACACAAACATTAAACGCTATACATTTAATTTTAAAGTTATACAATAAAACTTGCCTTTTTATTCGCTCTGTCTCTAAAGCATCGTCCTCCACATATTGAAAATAAAACAGAAAAAGTTCCATCCAATGTAACTGAAACAAAAGCATCTTTATCAACAGAAAGTACTCATTATTCAAATTACTCACTTTAGCTTCATTGTCATCGCCGGCATTTTGATAATTTTTCCAAATTGTAGTTAATGTATCCACCAGCAAATAAGCAGAGCTTGCCGCCTGTGTGGCCTGTTGTTCCATTCTTTGCTCGAATTACATGAAAGCAGTAATTCAATGTATTAATTTGGCTAATAATTGTAGTTATATTGCTTTCTTTTCGAATTCGCATCTGTTTCTATATTAGGTGCTAAATGAACATACACCTTAAAGCAATTAGTATAAAACTGAAAAAAAAACAAACAAATTATTAAAACTATGAAAAGTGAAAGTGTTTAAATATAAACATAAATATACATATATATGCGGACTATAAATACATATTTACAAACTTAAGAAATTGTATATTTTGATTTTGTTATATTTAACACTGTGAGTTAGTTTCGTATACAGTTATATGTATGTATGTGCTCAGAAGTATAAAACATTTATTTAAAACCACTGCGGTACACTTGCTAACAGTTACTAAGCTGCTGTTGTCGAGGAACAACAAATGCGATTTAATCGACTATAAACTATTGCATCTGACCGCTGCTGCTTGCAGATTATTTACATTCTTGATGGATTAAGATGCATTCTTATCACCTAGTCACAGCAAGGGTGATTGAAACACATTAAGAACTTTGTTCATACTTGTACATATGTATATATGTATTTTGGTTTATGTTCTCAAAATATATAAACATGTTTGAATAACAAATTTACCGTTATGTTTATTATATTAAAAATGTTATATTTTACATAGATTTGTATTACAGGTCTTTCGCGATTATAATGCAATCAAATAGTATTAATACATAAGATTGTGTTACTTCCAATCAGATGATTGTAATCTCGCAGATTTTATTTTCAGTAGATTTTAAATGGGGGTGTTTTGGCAACTCTAGTTTAAAAGCAAAATATAAACAAGTCTGATGCTAAAATCAGCAGGGCATAACAAAATTTTTCCATGCCCCAAGTGCGTAGTAGTTCCACTATTTCACAAATATTAGCAAGAATTATTTAATATTCTCTTTTAACGATCTAAAGCACGGTTGGGTTAGCTTTTTTGCACTAAAACGGTACTAGTTCTTTTACCACGTCGTGCTAAAATCCGTATGGCCCCGAACAGCTGACTTCGTGAACAAACTAGAAATTCTCCAATTGGCAGCGTAGCGAACGGTTTGTTTTGTCAAGGAATAACACGTTTAAACACTTGTTCTCTTATTTTGTAAATAAATTTCAATAAACAATGCAAGTAATGTTGCCTTTAGTTCATTTTGACAGACACAGTGCACTTTTGTCATAACTTTAGCAAATGTTACCATATCCCCTCATTAAGGCGATTGGTTTGCGCAAACTGTTATCGATAATTTTAACGGAGCCTAAAAAAACATCCTTTGACATTAATTTATTTATACCGACTACTAACTTTCAAATTTCCAAAAAAAAGTAACGTTTTTCCAATCCAGGAAACTTAAGAAATTAATTTTTAATTTAAAATCTATGACTTCTGGAAAATCGTTACCAAAAACAATTAAAATAACTAAAAATTTGTAGTGCTTTACCATCCAAGCCAGGTACTCCTCCTTTAACAGTTTTCAATAGAAAATCAATTAGATACTGTTCTGCCGAAATATGGCGCGCGCTTTTTCAGATAACCTCTAACACATGAGAGTATTTCCCCTCATAGTTGCAGATTTTATATTATTGATCGGAATTATATAAATTAACTAGTCCCTCAAGCAAGCAGTCTATTCAAAATAACTTATTTCACATTAATTAAAATTTATCGAAATCCTCAAAATGAATCGTTTGCTCTCTTTGAAACGACCAATTTTCGCACTTCACTAATTTTTGATAAGTAAGCTTTTAAAATTTAGAGCTTTTATGCAATAAACCAGAGAACGTATAATATTAGACTTTATGACGTATAGATATAATATTATACGTTCTCTGAATAAACTAACAAACTATCAATCTGTGCACAACATTTATTTAGCGCTTTTGCCACGCTAGGATAGTCTAGTTTAGCACATACGACTGATTAGTAAGGTGTTCACCTGCTTGAAACTTCTTAGTTAAGTATTAAAAAAAATGTTGGTGAAACAGTTGCAAAAAGTTTTGTCAAACAACAACATTTATAGCCAAACTGCAATAAAGGTAAATATTTTGGCGAATGCCGGTGTTTTTTCGTTAAAAAAATTAATAGGAAATAGTCGAACAAATTATCATTTTAAGTGTGCTAAATAAATATGTGTATTATGTATTAGAATTTTGCGTATGCCAAAATTAAAAGCAGCTAATGTCAAAACAATGTGAACTTTTCGCCGTGAAGTGCAAAAATCAGCTGAGACCCTATACATACTTTTCGATCATCATCAGGTAGTTTCCTTTATAGTAGTTCATTGTTTTTTTTTTATTATAAGACCGTGAAGGTTTCAATTTATAAATACTTAGTTGTCAGTTTATACTAAATTCCATGTATTTTTTTTTAAATATTTGGTCATAAAGTTGTGACATGTACTACAAAACCTCTTAATTCGCTGGGGACAATCCGGTTGTTGTTTTTGGAGCGATCTAGTTATTTTTGTTTATGCGAACGTCTTGTTTTTAAGAAAAATTTAAGCGCCAATAAATTATTGAATTTATATGAAATATTTACTTACAAAATTTACATATATTGATACGTATATTTTGATGTATGTATATGCATGTGTATGTGAATAAATACGCTTGCTAACGCTTGATTTAGTACACGTATTTATATGTTCTATTGCTATCATATTTAATTAAAAAATGAAATTTTGTATTTACTAAAAAGAAATACCTTTCTGTCAATAGTCTATGGCCATATCGGCATATAATTTGCATATAAATTAGCACTCAAGTAATCAGTAGATTTGTCGTTTTGAGTTATATAATCTAAGTGGAAAGGTAAACATCATATTATATTGTGCGTTAAGGGACATAAAACAAGAAAAAACGTTAACTTCGGTTGCACCGAAGCTTTAATACCCTTCACAAATTCAAAAAAATTCCACAAAAGATCGGTCAGTTTTACCAGTAAAAAACAGCTTCTTGATGAGAAAAGGACCAAAGCTAAATTTCAGGTTGCGATCTCAAAACTGTGGGAGTATTCGGGCATATACCGACGGACAGACTTACATGGCACGTCACGATCATTTACTTATACGTACATACATATATATATATATATTATAGAGACTATAAGTTTTCTTCTGGGTGTTAAAAACTTCGTGGCAAAAATAAATCATCTAATTAAACTAATCTAATTATGAACATCCTATCTTATCACGTCACAAGACCTGAGTAGGAGAAATGCATTTGCCATTTTTTACGTAAATATCCCAATTTATTAATAAATTATAATGCGTTACAGTTAAATACATACATACATATGTACGGACCACTTTGCAGCCAGAAGATATTTATTGATAGGAACGAATATTTTACCGCACTTAAAGTTGTATAAATATAAATATCTCAATAAACAACTCGCACTTAATGATAATAAACTATAGAATTTCCGTAATTACGTCAGGTGTTAGCTGCACGCAATATTTGTAATAATTACGTTAAACTTGTAATGCAGCATTTGAAACTAGAATTTCCTGTTTCAAAAGCTAGCCTGATTATATTTTATAACTATGTTATAATGTTTTTTATTACTGAGCAGAGGTTATAAATAAGCGAGGTGGGGTCTTAACGGTTATCCAGCTTGTGTTTGGGTAGCAAGGCCAAAGTTAGTGGTCATCAAAATTATCTATCTCTTTCGACGATGTTGGATAATAAGGAAAATTGTGTTAGATGCGATTATATTAGATTTCATAGGGCATGCAAAAATCTGATTAAAAGTGATGCGGGACATACATATGTACATACTAGATTTACAATTTAAGCGTTAGCCTGCTGATATGGGCTCAGGAGCCTTCTTTTAAAGCGATTTGAAGATTAAATGAAATTTTTTTTTGCAATCCAGGCCAATTTTGATCAGAAGCTTTATACAATAAATAATATAATATAATAATATAAATTCTTAAATCTTATCAGAGCGGCTTTCAATGTTGTTATTAGATAACTAAGCTTACAATAATGTTTTTAATGACTATATCTTGTTGGACATATTCTTAAGCGTTTGATTTATTATAAGTTGATATCTTAGAAAAATTATCTTTCATACTTTTAGCTCATTGCCTGTTACTCCACCAAAGTTAAGACACATAAAATCTTCGAAAGTGCTGCTGCGGCAGTTGCGGATATACCGAATGGCTCCAAACTCTTATTCGGTGGATTCGGTGTGTGTGGCATACCTGAGAAATTGATTGATGCTTTGCGGGAAAAGGGTGTCAAGGATATAACTGCAGTTTCAAATAATGGAGGTTGGTACCGATTTGCAAACAACAGTTGTTCTATGCTTTAAGTGTCTTCAAATTTGCTGTACTGGCTGTTCAAACTGATAACTGTAAATCCTTTTTTTACAGGCGTCGAAGATTTTGGTATCGGTATACTTATTAAGAACAAGCAAATCAGTAAAATGATAGCTTCTTATGTGGGTGAAAATAAAGAACTGGTTCGACAATATCTCGCTGGCGATTTAGCCATTGAGTTGACACCACAAGGCACAATTGCCGAAAAAATCAGAGCCGGTGGCGCGGGTAGGTGAACATGGGTTGAAATAAATATTTTTATAATGAAAATTTATTACGAATTTTTGCAGGTATTCCGGCATTTTTCACACCCACCGGTTATGGTACGCTTGTACAAAAAGGTGGCGCGCCCATCAAGTATGGAAAGGATGGAAAGATTGCGGTTGCCAGTAAACCCAAACCCGTGCAGACCTTTAATGGCAAAGACTATGTGTTGGAAGAATCCATTTTCGGCGATTACGCTATTATAAAGGCGCACAGAGCTGATCCATATGGCAATTTAAGTGAGTACATGTTTATAATTATTAAGAAAATAAAAGATATTATAGTATATATTTAATTTTTTTTTAATGAGTTTAGTGTTCAATAAGTCCGCACGTAATTTCAATGCACCGATGAGCAGGGCGGCTAAGGTTACCATTGTTGAGGTTGAAGACATTGTGCCAGTTGGTGCACTAAATCCCGCTGAGGTGCATATTCCCGGCATATATGTGGACCGTATTGTTAAGGGTAACAACTATAATAAACGTGTGGAACGTCTGCGTTTGCGTGATGATGGCGAATCTGCAAAATCGAGTCCGGGGCAGGAGTTACGTGAACGCATCGCTAAGCGTGTAGCTTTGGAGTTCCGCGATGGCATGTACGTCAATTTAGGCATAGGCATGCCAGTGCTGTCTTCAAATTATATACCAAAAGGCATGAATGTCATGTTGCAATCCGAAAATGGAATATTAGGTTTGGGACCGTTCCCAACCAAGGAACAAGTCGATCCCGATCTAATTAATGCAGGCAAGGAGAGTGTTACCGTTGTGCCTGGTGCGTCGTATTTCGGTTCCGATGACAGTTTTGCCATGATTCGTGGCGGTCATGTCGATATAACCATACTCGGTGCGATGGAAGTGTCGGCAACCGGTGATTTAGCCAATTGGATGATACCCGTGAGTAGTTAAGAAAGAAAAAATGCATATATGTTATAAAAATTGTCATATTCGCCAACAGGGCAAGCTTGTGAAGGGCATGGGTGGCGCTATGGATTTGGTAGCTGCTCCGGGCACCAAAGTTATTATCACAATGGAACATAACGCCAAGGATGGTTCACCGAAAATTTTGGACAGATGCACATTACCTTTAACGGGTCAAGGCATAGTTGATCTGATTATTTCGGAGAAGGTTGGTTACAAAAAAATTTGATTTTATATTAATTTTGTGTGTGTGTAATTATTTTATTTTTTTAAATTCCTGATCACACCTGTCACAGTCTAAATCGAATAATAATTAGCGAGTTTGCTTTAGAAAAGGGTTTTTTTTAATTCGCCATTTAACGGTAAAAGCTTGGCGTAATTTCCATCTCTATCATTCTTGAAATTCGTCTACTTCTTCTATATAAAAACCGTTCTAATTTTACAATTTAATTTTTTTAGGCCGTTTTCACTGTAGAAAAGGGCGTTGGCTTGACTTTGACTGAAATTGCCGACGGTTACTCGGTGGAGGACCTAAGATCTTGCACAGGCGCGCAATTCGAAGTCTCGCCCGAACTTAAAAAGATGGCTCAAATCGATGAAAACTAGTAATTACTGTGTGCCTTACCGACCGTTCAATTGTTGTCGTGTATTTGTAAAATAACTGAATATTTTTGTAAGAGTTCTATTAAGTCAAAGAATTGTTGCTTTGTCAAAATAAGTAAACTTAAAAGTGATACGTCTGCATTTATTGTACTAAGTATTTTGTATTTGGTATTTTACACGATGTTAAATAAAACGAAAATATATTTTTTACCACCATTCGCAATGTAAGCAGTTCGAAGAAAAATGTGAGACTATCAAAAAAAAAAAATTTCGGTAGAAATTTTAAAATTAAAATTTCGCGGGTTTGAAAATCCAATTGTCAAATTTTCGTATTACCTATGTTCATATAAATGTTTCAAAGTACAATAGATTTTCAATTTGTCCTTAGCAGAAGATTCTAAGGTTAGACGTGTTTTTTCTGAGCTTGGCAGTTTTGGTTTGTTAAAAGCTCACCTCTTGATGCTTATTGGTGATTGGTCAAAAACGTTACCGCAGCGACGCGCCGGCCTCTATATTCGTTGGATACCGACCGGAAAAATTGGTGCTCGGAAAGGGTTATAAGACGGTTGTGGAGAAACTACCAAGCCGATGCTTTCCAAATAGTTTTCATCCGATTTTGTAACACGAGGTCGAGTGTTGGCATAATGGAAATTTATTGCCTCGTGTCTAGTCGCAAATCCGGGGCGCTTTTCGGCATTCGCTTATTTCAATTTTTGACGATTTGTTGTCGATAGCGACCCAATTAATGTTTCACCCTTTTTTAAAAGCTCATAATACAGCTCGTCCCTTTTTGATTCCACTAAAAATAGAGTATTACCCTCGTAAGGGATATTACTTACCGATACAAACAATTCCGATATCGTAGAACCGGTTGTCTAGCGAGTTGCTCTTCATGAATATTAGGCTTTGCGGTTGTTTTGGTAGGTTGGTCTTTTTTCACAGCTGATTTGCTTGCAACCTGCTGCTATAGAGAGAGATAGATGTAGCTTTATGTATACATATATCCGTCCGTCCGTGTAAGCTCTATCTTGATGAAACTCGGTATGAGGGTTCTTTAGTACAAAAAAATGTTTAGTTCGTAGATGGGCGTAATCGGAAAACTGTCAGGCTCAAACGACGTCATTAACCGGAAACCTATAAAGTGCCATAACTAAGCACTAAATTAAGATATAAAACTGTAATTTGGCACAGGGGATCGCAGTAGAACCTGTGGGAAAATATTTTGAAAAATTGAGCGGCATAACCCTCTAATAAATTTAAGGTACATACACATCTCCTAAACCACTTAATCACAACCAAATTTGCTGAGTGCAAATCTTATAAGAATTTCTATCAACAGTGTAAAAATGGATGAAATCGAAAGATAATCCCATTGACTCCCTATATAGCGGTACAGTTTTTCAGTTTTAAATTTCATTTGATTCCTTCACTTTCTAGTGCAGTGATAAAAGTTTGCATTAATAATTCCTTTAAAGTATGCCATCTTAAGACCAAAAATTGCTCAGAGCAAAACAAAACTGTTAAAGACATTTGGTATCAAATATGTGAACCCTGGCAACTATAGTTGATTTTTATTCAATTCTCTATAAGTGTTACAGTGATCGGATTTAGATCAAATATGCGCCGTTTCGTTCGATAATCTGTTTGCATCTAGACGGCAACTTCAACGAAGTGTGTGGTCTGGCGTTGTCCTGGTGGAACACTACACTCTTCCTGTTGGATAATTCTGGACGCTTCTGGTCGATCGCCTGCTTCAAAGGGTCCAGTTGTTTGCAGTAGATGGTAGAATTAAGCGTCATATGGGAGCAGCTCATAATGGATGATTCCCTTCCGTTCTTATCAAACACATAGCAAAACCTTCCTGGCCATCAATCCCGGTTTGACCACTGTTTGGGACGATTCACCGGCCTTCGATCAGAACCGTTTTCGCTTGACATTGTCGTATGTAATCCATTTTTCGTCGCCAGTCACCATTCACTTCAAAATGGGTCGAGTTTGTTCCGTTTCAGCAGCATATCGCAGGCGTTGATTGGGATCAGAAGATTTTTATGCGTCAAATCATGCAGCTCCCAAATATCAAGCTTTTTTGTGTATCCAGCCTTCTGCGGTTGATTTAAAATGATTTGGTGACTAAATCCGTCTTCTGGGCGATGTCACGAAATGCCACATGCCGGTCTAATTCGGTCGTTGTCACAGGTCTTCCGCCGGCTGGCTTATCCATGGTGTCGTTTTCAGCCGCTCTGAATCGTCGAAACCATTCCTCCGCAGTTCGAAATGATAGAGTACCATTCGCCAAAACACCATTAAGCTCACGCAACGCTTTTCTAGCGGATTTGTCTTTAACGAAGAAAAACTTTAAAATAGCGCAAATTTCGGCGTTAGTGAACTCCATGTTTACACGTCTATAACTGTTGGACGCAATATCCAAAGTAATCATGCATAGCGTCGTCGCGAAATTCAAAAGACAAAAAGGTGGAAGAGAGATATTAGACAACCGAATATAATGATTTTCGAACTTCGAGGTGACTTTATACTGGATATAACGCCCAATATTTGAGTTATCGTAATGAAAATTATAGAACGTGTTTTACTCATAACAGTGTATCTTTGTACCTAAAGTAGCGCGAAAACTTGATCTAGCCGCTATATACATATGTATAAGATTTCTTAGATTACGACTGTCTGGTTGACGTTTTACATTTTAAGGTATTTCCCTGGCTTTGATACCTGCAAGTTTCGGTTGCACCCGAACTGATCTTTTCCTTACTTGTTTTCCTTATGTTTTTTATTTATTTATTAAAATTTAATATAAATAATACAAATATACTGCGATGTGGCAAGTAAATTGCTTCCAGAAAGCATTTAGCTCTCAAAGAGTACTTATGTATCTCTGATGAATATTTTCTATTCGCCTTTGAAAAACAATTATGTGGTGTAATTTGAACCACTTAACGCAAATTCTGATCTCAGGATGCCGTTAAGCAAAGTTAAGGTTTCAACGACTTTCGGAAAGCATTTTACTTGCAGCATCTAATTGCAACGTAATGCGAAGTGAATTTACATTTTAGCTTATAACTTTGCTCATATCTTTGAGAGTTTTCGATTGTCTAGCCGCTTGCAACACCTGTTTGTTCAACGCTTGGAAAATTTCGATCTTCTTCATTTCGTTTTCCCTGCGACAGACCGTACAAAATTGTGACGTCACCAAATGTAGGGGACTGCGAAAATAATATATTTTACTAATGTTTAAAGAGTTTTTCTTGTGCGCCCAACAATGTAGAATCGACTCGCTCAGTAGCATTATGAAAAACAAGCCAAGGGAGCAGCAAAATAAGGTTGGTATAAGAAATAATTGATAAGTCTGCTTGTGATAGCCTAAAATGATATCCTGTAGAGAAGTGTGTATGCTGTAATATTTATTTTATTGTATTTTTTTACTCTTACATTGTGACTAAAAAGCAAACGGAAATTGTAACCACATTCCCTGGGAGAATGATATTTCCAAAAAATTCAGTTTGTTAAGGACTGATTTAATTACTATGCCAAATATGAACGTCGATGGAAGAGATAAAACCAAATTCGCTGAAGAAGCTGAGGGCCATTCCAAAAAGTGCTTATGAAAAGTGTTTCGAAGACAGGAATTGATTGATTATTGATGAATATTTAAATACTTTGCGTTCTATTTACAATTTCCGGGTACTTTTTTGTCACAATGTATTGCTGTTAAATTTAACATACATTCCTCACACCGTCCATTTTGATGAAATCCTCTTTTTTATAAAATTGAGGGAACTTTTCTTCTCCTTCACCATGCATCGGTGTGGTGGCTGCTGGTGGACTGCCGTCATTGTAGAGGTTCTTCTCCTCCGTTTCTTTTTCATTAGGGTCACAAAGAAACTTCTTTGGTATTTGAAAATTATTATGCTTGACATAGCGCACCTTTACTTTCGTTCCGTTTAAGGGCTCACCAGTTTCCAAGTCTAAAACTTGTTGCCTTACATTGGACAAATCACGGTGGATGTAATGGAGTTCACCCGTCTCCGAGTTCTATAAATAATATACATAGATAAATTTAGAAGTGGAAGTAATGAAACAGAATTATTTTCGTATACATATTTAGATCGGGGTTGATTTTAGTGAGTAGTCTGCGAAACATTGTTACAGAACACCGATCCCCATAGCACACCGGGTTAGTGAGAAATTATCCGCGAGGATATAGCTTACGTTAGGTTTAACTGTTAGGCCAATAAGCCACGTATAAACCAGTTTAAGTACTTTGCGATAGCAGATGGTGTTCAGTTCCTAGGTTCAAGAAAAGTAGTCTTCCTTTAGGATGCCTGCGCTTGACGCGAATTTTAACATACTCTGCGGCCTCACAGTCGATACCTCCTCCAGTGTATCATAAAGTGCCCCAGATCCCCAGATGCTTACAGCGTGGTCTTGCCCATGCGGGACAAGTACACAAGAGATGGTCTATTGTTTACCTGGTGCCTCGCTCTAAACATTTCTTGCAGTTTTCTACAACCATCAGCTCCATTCCGCGGGCGTGTGCTGCCACCAGACAGACGCGAGGAAGTAGCTCTCGCCTTCACAGAAGAGTGGGGAAAACTGAACTAAGTTGCGAATTAAGCTTTATGACGGCTTATGCGATTGTATATGCTAATTTGAAGATCTCTATGTTCTTTCCGACTTCGTAATAAAAGTATCAAAATCTTTAAAGTATCAAAATCCAAAAGAAACATCCACAAAGCGAGTCTGCATATCGAAAATTGAAACCATTTATTGGCGTTCGCTAATGTATCGCTTTAGCAATGTTTTCCTATTATCGCTAGCCGATCATGCCTAGCATATCTGGAATTCGACGTAACGTTTAATGAACTATAGTATTATGAGATACAAGTATGTTTTCACATACTTAGCAGTGATCAAGGTGAATAGATAGTTATAAATAAATTTAATAGATAAGTACCTTTAATTAAATAAATTCGAATGTTTGATATGGTGTCGTAATCACTTGACAAATATCACACAAAAATGAGGAGTTGAACATACGTACATTAATATATAATATCAGCTCTAGCTCTCTTAAGAACTTTTATAATAACTTGATTACATGTAACTATGAAATATTGATATTTGGGCACAAGGTCATCGATTATTCTGGCTGTATGGTGTGGTAAGGTTCTTTTACATTTCAATTACCACGGAAACGAAATTCTAAGCATCGAATGAGTTTAAAAGCCCTGAAAATGCGCAGAGATTGCTTGGGTGCTAGGTGCTTGTTTGGGTGGTAAAATGAAGGATGAGTATTTGCATGATCAAGGGCCAAAATTGAGTTCAATATCATCATTTAGCCAAAGCTTAGTGCTTCACATCAATTTGAAAATTTGCACACAATCTTGCCTCTCCAAGAGGCTGTTCATTTATCGGAACCACAAACACAAGTTCTCCTTTGGAAAATATTTTGATTTGACAAGATATTTCCACAAATTTGACACGGCTTATTCTTCAAAGCAATAGTATAATCTGCAAAGGTTTTTGATCGATGAAATTTTGAAGTTTTATTTAAATCAGTTTGAGTATGTTCTTCAAGGTGATGAACCAATGAATGAGAGAGTTAATTTGATCAATGAAATGAATGAACGGATTGCGTTGTTTTACATGTTTGAGGTTTCCTTGATTTACTTGTAGTTATAGATCAGGTCGTGTGTAGCTGACGAATCCTGCAAGCTACTTTACAACAAAACCCTTTTTTGATCGATGAATTGTCGGACTAAAGCTAGTTTCTGTATGAAAATTCACTGTGGTTTTCCGTTAATTAAGTCACGGATCACGTGAGCGTAGCGGAAGAAGTCTGCCAAACAAAATTTATATGTCTAAAGTACTAGAATTTCCGACAATATAGATCGCTAAGATCACTCAAACTTTTTGAGCTCAAAATATACACTTCTTCCGACTATTCTCTGCTGTGTATTCTAGAAAAATTCAAAATGATGTTTAGAACTTCAACAATAGTCGCTTTGAGCTTGGGGTTTAAGAAAATTCAGCAACTCCATTTGATAGCAAATTTGTCTCCACTATTTGAATCAGGGCCTTTATATCGGCATACGTGTATGCTGGGTAGGGTTAGGTTAGATGGCTGATCAAAAAATTGCACGTGGATTATTATATATAATCTCTTGTAATGACATAGAAAAAAGAGCTCCTGTGTTCGAATTAAAAATTAGCAAAACGCTTTGTTGCCAATACAAATTCGGTGGGATGTCCGAAGGTATGCGCTGCCAAGTGTTTAAGTCTTGACCTGCCCAACGCGGGGCAGTCAAGAAGGAATTGTTACGTTGTTTCCTCCTCATCTCTTCTGCAGATGGCGTCTGGTAGGATTCCCAGCCTTACTGCGTGGACGCCAAGAGGCCAATGGCCCGTTAAAAGCCCCACTACTTGGGAGAGGTTAGTCTTATTGAGGGCAACGAGATCACTTCCTCTTTTGCCATCGATCTTGGGCCAAAAGGCTTTTGCGATAGCGCAAGTACCGATTGTGTTCCAGCGCTGAAGATTCGGGAGCACCGATCGGCTCCCATTCTATCGATAGCGGCTCTAAGGTGCCTTTCCTTGCTAGCTCATCAACTTTACAGGTTCCTGTGATTCCGTGTGTATGCTATGGATAATTTATTTTAAGCAAATAAGAATTGTGCGACCAGCCCACTTAGCACTTCGGGCCAGGGAGGAATTATCTCCTAGGGGGAGCGCTCTTCTTCATGCCGGAAATTCTGAAACCATTATCGCTAGCCTATCAGCAATGCCGCTCTAAACTTTTTGAACTAGCGTATCTGGAATTCGGTACAACGCTTAGTAAGCTGTAGTATGGCTATCTATCATTATTATAAGTTTAACAGGTAAACAACAACCAAATGTTATTCTGAGATATGTTTTCATATACATACTCAATGGTCACCAAAGTGTTCAGATAGTTATGAGCACATTTAAAATATCTATAATTTATTTCTAGATAAGATTGTTTCATTTATTGTCGAAATCACACGACATGGAGTGTTGCTCGGAGAACAACAAAGGCGAAGAGACGTACATATGTACGTAGCCAAAGGTAGAATCAAACACTGTTTGCACGCGCTTTAGTAGCTATGCCCTGATAATTTTTAAGATTTTTTGGTATTTTGAATATTACACACATTTTCGATAGTTTGAGAAATGTCAGATACCACAAGTGATTTATGATAGCGGAAATTTCTTTATTGTGGTAAATAATGGGTTGAACATACATACACATTTTTGTCGCGACCTTCGTTTATGGGCAGTGGTACGGTTTTTAACAAATTGAGAATTTATGTGAAATTTTAATATGGGTATGGAAAATTTTTATTGTATTTTAATTAAAGGTATAGCCACAAGACTTACTAATTCCGAACAAGAGAATTTCGGAATACGAAAATTCCTCCAACCTACAAATCTGTAGAAGTAAGAGTCAAACGGAATTTTTTGAAAAAGGGTCACGAAACCAGGCGTCAAAGTGAGCAAATTCGCTACGAAGTTACTCAGAATATGTTATCTTATCGACAAATCAAGCGCAAATTAGATCTTCTCGTTACACTCAGCCAATTCGCACGAGTTTTGAGCTCCATACCCACAATAAAGCGTTCAAAACTTTAGTCCAAACCGAAGCTGACTGATGTTCATAAGACAAAGTGGCTAGAACTTGCCCGAAGATACATGTCTTGGCGTGAGGAATGGCAGAATGTTATTCTTTTAGATGAAAAAGAATGTAATTTGGACAACCCGGACTATTACAGTTGCTAGTTGTACGATTTAATGAAACAACGTTCACAGCGGAAGAGGAATTGTGCTGGGTTGGACAGCCTTAAGGAATTTGGACCATCGTCAATTTGCTTTATTACAACGAAAATGAACAAACACCGAAATGTACACAGAGCTCTATTCTCTACTGCGTTTTCTTGAAAATTTCAAAATTATATTTAAAACTTCATCAAAGTCGCTTTAGCCATGTGGTTCGAGCAAGTTATTGCAAATCTGAGAATCTTGGGTTCAATTAAGTATGAAGGAAATACTTTCTACAATCAACAATTTTAGAAAAGACAGAAAAGAGCTTATTCTAGTAGCGTTTGTGCTACGACAACTAAGGTTCAAGCTCACAGCGTATTTCTGACATGAGAAAACATCTCTTTCGCATCAGCTGTTTGGTTTGCATCGCTTTATTTCTAACCCAACAAAAGAAGGCTCACTATTTATTTTAGAAACAGCTTGGCGTAAAAAATGCTCTCTATACAAATATTTAATTGGTTTCGCATGAGCTAACCGCTAAGCGTTTAGCATGAAACCGGTTCTCAGAGTTTTAAAATTCAGCGTCTTCTTTTAATAGCCTACTTATCTACACCATTTGAATCATAGCAGTTTTGTGAGTATTCCTTTTTATGGCTTTTAAAATTCGGTTAAAATGTTCAGTTTTAAATGTGGGGGTTTTCAAAAGCAGCAGTATGTCTCACAGGTCGTTTCACATATTGTGCCGATCTTTGTTATGTATAATTTATTTTAAGCAAATTGTATAAATAAATGCTTGTACGAGTATACACGTCTCAACATGTCATTTTACCTGTATGGAGTAGACCATTTTCACCGTGTTATCGCTTTTTACACTTTTTTTTCGTTTTTGCGTGTTGATTATATTTTTAGATTTTTGATATCGTCACCACAGGCCGTGCCTCTTCACCGTTTCACCTGTTAATTGTACAATACAAATAGCTATTTGTATAATTTAACTCGAATAAAAGCGCATATTTTTGTCTGATAAGCTAAAAATATATTTTATTCATATATTATATATATAGACTATATATTTATTATATAAGAAAATAACACACAAAAATTCTGCATAAATAATTTACATTTTGCAAACACACACGCACATATACATATATCAGATATATACCAGTTGTATATACATACATATACATATGTATAATATATATCTGATTTCTTTACAATTAATTTTGCGCACAATAAACACACGATACTGCGGCGTGTAGAGCAGCAGACAGACTATTAGCGGCGCCGCAATCTGCGCTTTGGTTCTAGCCAAACGACATTGTTATTTTCTATCTTTGGAAAGCTATTCTTTCTCCATTTGTTTAAAAGCGCAAATTGCAAAAAAAAAAGTTTATAAATATAAACAAATGTAGGCGGATATGTATGTACGTATCTGATATCACCGGATTCCCGTTCGCTACTGAGGAACTGTACTGCCGCTGCGTTACTGTGGTGGAGTTCGCTTTACGACTGGTCTATTTAATAAGCTCTCCCATCAAACCAATTTATCACTCACCGCTTAATAATATTATACACATATACATATTCGTAATCTATAGGTATATGTATGTGTTTGTGTGTTTACATAATTTATCTTAATTGTTGTAAATACTAGCCACTGAACATTTACTTTCGCAGTACTGGAAAAGTTTCTAGCGATATTTTGATATTGTTTCGGGATACCGAACATTATTTTGAAATTTTTTGTTAAACATATATATTAAATTCAAATATTTTATACACGATTTTTAGAGCGTGATGCAGCTAACGGTACTGATTGAACGTATCGCGATGCTTTCGTACAATTCTTGGATTCCTGGAGCTCTTTTGTAAGCACTTAATTGGATGGTAGTTGCAATTGTACAGTTCTGAGCAGATAAGAAGTATGATGCTTCTCCGCAGTAATGGATTATTGATCTTAAAGGTAGGTAATTATTTGGCCAGATGGAACACTAGCGACCCTCCTTTTGGCATCACTTTTTCCGCTTTGTAGCCACTAATTATTTTCCTATTGGCATCACCTTTCACGTTCATCATTGTAGTCAAACTCTGGTTATTGGGCTTGGTTTCGGCTGTCGCTGATGTTGTTGCCATTTCGGAGCTAGGCTTAGCTGTAGCTATAGAAATAAAACGAGCCCTTGCTCCTAGGTCAAGTTCAGCTCTTGTCTTGGTGCTGCTTGTTTGTAAACGCTCCACTTTTTTCGGAACAGCCAGTTTCTCCCGCAGTAAAGCTGGACTCCTCTGGTAGTTTATTGTTGGTATTGTTTTTATTTTCTTATATTTGGACTGACGAGTGTAGGGGAAGGTCCGCTTCCGCAAAGCCTCCACTACGCAAGAAAGACCGTTCGAAACTGGGCTATTTGAGGGTCCACAACCAGCCTGATTATCGGCGCGGTTCGCAAGATATCTTTGATCTAGACATTTTTCAAACTGTTTCCAGCGAATGGCTGGCTCAGTCAACTGTGTACATATTAGTCGTCGTAAAATCGATTTTACCGACCTTGATAGCTTTGATACTAAGATCGACAATGCCTTAATAATAAATTTAACACTTTCAATGGTTTTTGACTAATAGTCTGAGTTTGGCCGCAGCCTAATCCGAATTGACCTAATATCAGTCAAGCTTTTTTCCATAGAACAGTGTAAAATGGTAGATGAATACATTTAAAGACTATTTAGTAGAAAATAATTCATGATAATAGGTTTTTACCTAAACTCTCGATGGTTTACAAATTTTCACCACCGACATTGTTTTACCTCTAGAGATATGCAAATATAGTTGTGAAAATTAGTTTCTGACATAATTGAAGTGATTCGCAATATTAGTACACTGAAGAATCTTGAAACTGTAAAACTTCTGCATCTGTTAATACTTTCAAGGTTAGGTTAACATCTTTTTTTAATTCATTCATTCTTTTTGTGGAAATTTCTGGCATCGCTGTTCCTGTTTTGTGACTCAACATTTGATATCATTTTGCTAATAATAACTAGTCCCGATTTAAATCAAATTTGTGCAAATTAAACGGTCTTCTCATATCTGTTATCAGCTGTTTCGGTAGGCCAGAAAGATAAGATTAAACGACACCTAAATTTGAATGGCTCTTTTCGTTTGTATATTATGAAATCGTTATCAAAATCGAGTAATATCAATAGTAAATCGGAAACAGAGGTGCGATATTTTGCACTATCAATAATAAATATTCGTAGTTTGTGACTTTAAATTATTTACGAATAACTGGCAAGTCACCATTATTCCCAATTTTTACCGCAAACATTATAACGATACTGACCTACTCGTATTACTTGGCAAAAACCGTTTGCTTGGATGACTTAATATTAAAAAAGGTAGAGTCACCCAGTTTACTATGCTTCATTGAAAATGAAAACATGACTGTTGTAAATAAAGCGGACATTGACTTGAATCGTTTTGCAACTTCTCACATATAAAGTTAACATATTGACTTACTCATCCAATACATATGTATGTACATTGATTTGCGCCAAAATCAAATTTTCCTATCTCTCACTTTTCACACGAAGGAAACTCCGGAGATCCTATAAGTGATCAGTGTAATGAGCTGATTTAGCTATTATTATCTGTTTGTCATCTGACAGCGGACGAGTTGTATATTCGCGAACAAGTTCCTCGATTCTTCAGATTTCGATTTGAAATTTTGCACACGTCCTTCTCTCACCAAAAAAAACTGCTTATTTTTCGGAACCACCTTTATCGGACCATTGTAGCATAACTATAAGTGCCATGCAAACCATTCTACTAAAATCAAAGTAAGAACCTGAAGGTTTCAAGGTTCATAGATAACGTCTATTCTTGTTTTAAAAAGTTATTAAAAGAGAGGGTTTGTTTAAGATTTCTGAATTTCACCATTATCATTTAGAAGCTCAACTCCATGGTTTGATAGTACGATTTTATAGAACAATTCAAAGTTTATATACCTGCCCAGCCTTTGAAGATATACAACTTGTTACCTACATAGTTAGTCTGATAAATTTACGAGTTGACAAGTTAGTAAAGAGAATGATATAAAATCTTCAGCAGGATCTGTGTTTTCAATCGTCCTTTTTTTTTAGAATCAATAACAGCAACAATGTCAGCCTCGAAATCCAAAGTAGAATAACTTTTGCCAACAGGTCTTACTTCGGTAATTATTCCACTAACGAAGATCAAACTCTACAAGTCCTGCTATGTTGTGCGGAGGCATGAACAATGACAACATGTGATGAGTTGGCCTTAGGAGTGTTCGAGAGAAAAGTTTCGTGGAAGATTTATGGTCCTTTGGCCGTGCTTGCTTGGTCATGTTGTCCGAATGGAAGAGAACACTCCAGCTCTCAAGGTATTCGATTCAGTATCCGCTCGGGGAAGAAGAGGAAGAAGAAAACCTCCACTCCGCAACAAAGATCAGTTGGAGAAGCACCTGGCTGCTCTTCATACTATCTCAAATTGGCGCCAAATAGCGAAAGGAAGAAACGACTGACGTGCTGTGGTTAAGATTTCAAAGAGTGTAGAAATCTTGAAAAGATTTCTGAAAGTTTCCGAAGATCTCTAAGGTAATTATAATACCATCCAGATTCAATGAAATACGTTATATATAATCATATATTAAGCTTTTTCTTGATTTTTTGATAATGAAAGAAAAGCATTGTTGAAATTAATCATGTCATCTTGGAAATAATAGCAGATACTGTTGCTATTTCTAGATCTTTGTATTAAGACGATGATCTTTGTATAAGACGTTCCGAAACGAAAACAAATAAATGTAATGTGGCAACCAAATAACCACGGATTGGCATACTAACTTTTTTCATGGCGATCTTAAGTCTTGTGATCATGTCTTCATAAGGAGGGTACTTTGGCGATACCATAACTACATATATATGTATATAAAGAGTTTTGAGTACAACCTTATTCTAAATATTTAGGTAGTTCTGCTACTAAATCATTTATGTATATACATATATAGTAAGCGTTGAGTGAGATTGTGCTCAAAACTTCTACTGTCTATTGTACGCTTACTAATTAAAAATTAAAGTACCTACACGTAAACTTAGGCATGCTGATACCCAGGTACTTCTAAAAAAAATGAATAGCAAAGCGCTGATAATTGCGCGTCAGTTAAAGAAATGCACTCAAAAGTAAAAGCTTCAAATGCATAAGAGCTTCTATGCGCACTGAGCGAGATAGCCGAAAGAGTCTTCTTAGCACAAGCACTTGAAATCGTAGTAGGTATCTACCACTGTTTAAATATCAGAAAATTGCATGCAATTCACACGTTCTGTCATATGTACATACTTTATGGCGGCAGTCATATAAGTTATCTAGTTATATATGAGAAGAACTATCGGCGCAGATTAGATCCCATATTTTAGAAATGCATATTGTAATTGCTTTCACTGACATCAATCACAACTATAATTCACAATCAGAGAAGCTTTACGTTTCAGTATTAAATGACGGGTTTAGCTGCATCCAACGTTTGGCTGGAACTATTTAAAATTTGGACTGACTCAGTGTCACTAAGGATATATGCTATATCATTGAGTGCATTTTGCGAGACAGAAATAAAAAATTTTATAAAAAAAAGTAAAACCAAATGCTTTTAAAGTTTCTTAGACTGTTATAAAGAAGTTTTGCCACACGCTTTTCATAAATACGGTTATGCAATAGTGGAGAAGTTGATTGCAATAGATTGCAACGGTATATAAGAGTTTTTCTTTGAAAATGAAGTGAGTTGAATAATTTCGATGTTTACGAAATTTTGGAAAATATGGTATATACCATATACCAAATATTAAGTAATACATTTCAGCATTTTGTGCATATTATATCCAATATAGTATACATATGTATATTATAGGTATTATAAAAAGTACAAATCCAAACACACATATTAAAAAAAATTACGATTTCTAATAAAATGATGGTTAAAAAAAATTGCGATAAAATTTACAAAACAAAATTAAAAAATCAAAATTATTATAAGTTTTTTCTTCAATCATTACTTGAAAAATCCAATCCAAGAAACTCGTGTGAAAATTGCAACTCGATCGATGTAACCGTTTGGTAGGAGGAATTCTCCGAAAACAAGACCCAATCAAAAAAGCAATAAAAAAATGTTATTATTACCAGTAAAAATGTGGATTTTTAATAAAATGGCGTATTGAAAAACATCGTAATTTAAAAAGTGGCAATTATTATCAAAACATTTTTCCTTCAATGTTTATCGGCTAGAAATTTTTTGATTTTAAATACGGTCACAATCGAGGATCGATGCGATGTTGCCATATCATCGTGTAAAATCAATGAATCGCACTTCCACAATTCCGGCCGTTTTCGAAGGATGCCCTCAAGCAAAGGCCTCAAGCGCGGAAAAATAGAACTTCTTATTAACCGTCTGTCTTTCCGAAACAAATTCATGATGCACTCAACTACGAATATCAAAAAAAAAAAAAAAAAATAAAAAAAAATGAGCATCATCTTGATTTTTGGGCGACTATGGCGTTGTTTTTTTTGTTTTTTATTTCCCCTGGTTCTTTTTCTTCCCATTCCAATGCTTGTTGACTTGTTCGCATGTCAAACTCATAAACCTATGTCTCAACGGCAGTTATAATGCTCTCCATGAATACGGGAATCTTTAAAAAAAAAAAAATTCAGCTTTATCGGGAGGTGTCGAGAAAGAATGCGTTTCACACCCAAAATATCTACCAAAATGATTCGAACGGACTCGCAAGCGATTGTCATGCACCAAATCCTTCACTTTTTCTTTAAATATTTTCATTAGTTGAAGAGGTCGAAGGTAGTCCAGAAAGAAGCATGTCTTTAACGATCTCTCGAAAGTCTTTGAAGGCTTTATACGACTGGAATGCTTGTGGTTTAGTTAAAACTGAAGCATCGTAAGCCTTCTCCAGCATTCACAACGATTCCGGACATGAAGTTTGGTTAGAAATACAAAATTTGAGACAAATTCTTTGTGCGATATTTTTATCCATTGAAAAAATCGTAAGGCAGATCGCTATATCATATTTGGAATAGTAATTAAGGACAGTCCTACCAACTTAGCAATTTTTTGAAATATCATTTACCTGGGGAATTTAAATTACAAGTCAAATCGCAATGTATAAAAGTATAAAAGACCAAAAAGTTATGAAAGTTTTTAATGAGCTATGAAAATCCTCAAAGAGGAATAAAAATTATATTTACAATTTATGAAATGAATATCGACAAGTTCTTAATTATTTTTGGTTAAAGAATTTTCGGAGCTCTTAAAGAAGTTACAAAAATTATAACCAGTAAAAATATTCAAATGTCGCGTTTTTCAAGTTTTTAAAAGACAGGACCGTGTTTTATTTTGAAAAAAAAAAAATTATTCAAATCATTATTCAATTAAACTAAATTCCTTCGGCTCTTTACAGCATCAGATACGAAGCTATTTTATACACACTCAACTAGAGTCTGAACAAACTTTGCCGGAAAATAAGTGGATGTCTACGAATTTGACCCAAAGAAAGTTTTCTCTCGTTTCAAAGATATTTTTGAACACTTAAGGGTGTAGGAATCGATTCATTTTATTTTTGAAATCCAACTGGTATAAAGTAGGTAACAAAATCAAAAACAAGGAAATAAATTCGTACCGATTTGGAAAACTTTGTTCGAATCGAACACACCTTATTCTTTTTGAAGCCTTCCTCTTCAAATAATAAGTATGATCAGTAATCTCAATATATCGCAACTATGTTAATACTGCCGAATTATAGGCTTTGGGAATTATAAATTGAAAACTTTTAAAGGAACAAACATATTTTTTTCGGTGTTGACAAGTAACTTATAAACCGCAAAACATAAAACATTTTTTAATGCACTTGAGATAAGCAATAATGTAACCGGTCAATTGAAAAGTTCCCGGCCTATCAAAGTAAAACACATTTTTTTGGCAAAACTCGTGTTTTATGCAACATAGTTTGCTTCAAGGTTGATAAACTGATCCTCCAACTATTCGGAACCATTTTTGTTGCAGATTTCTCATTTGTTTCAAAATAGGCCTCAGTTTCGGCGATCACCTCTTCATTGCTTTTCAGCGAGCATTCTTTTGAGATCTGAGAGCAAGAAATAGTCGTTGTGGATGGTCCTTACTTTTTCAAGGCAGTCAATAAAATTATTTCATGTGCATCCCAAATTCGTCTTTACTAGAGTAGACACCGCTACATGGTTATAGAAGAGTTAACAATAGCGCGCCAGTCGTAAAACGACATAACAGTCTCGGATATTTCATCTGTTGTTTCTCTTTCATTGGAAGCCTTTTTTAAGTGGCGGGTGGATGGTTCGCCTTCTCATTTTAACACGCCTTTAAATGAATTTTCTTTGGCTACCCAGAGGATAATTGGTCTAAGACCGGAAATCGTGAGCTGCTTGAGCCATATGTTAGCGAATCGTTTCTGGCCACTCCCAAGTGAATGACGCTCAGATAGCTTTCCTCACTTGCGTGAATTTCTGCACAAGATTTCAAAAATGCAGACTCCATAACTTTGCCTGACGACTGTTGCGCTTTTCCACGCTTTGCAACGAGTTTATCGTGTGCAGTACACTCGGATAACTGCCGATTGGACTTCGGTGTGAAATAATGGAGCTATGTTTCATCTATATTCACATATTGATGAAAAAGACCGGGTTTTTTACGCTGGACATAATTCGCTGGCTCCGAATCATCAACTCGTCGTTCTTTTTGGTCAAAATTGAGTTCGCGCGGTACCCAATTTGCACAGAGCTTTCTCATACTCAAATATTCCTGATAGATGTGATGCATACATTCAGTTGATACCTTTAAAGTGTTTGCTATCTCGAACAGATTCATTTTACGATCTCTCAAAATTATTTTGTGGAATTTTTTGTTCTTCGGTAACAACCGGTTTTGGGCGTTCACGCGTTTACCGTCTTCGGTGCTCATTTCACAACGTCTAAATTTAGTATAACAATCCTTGACGGTTAATTTTTCTGGGGCATTGGCCGGAAAACCGCCATCAAGCCAAATTTTTGCTTCAACTGTATTTTTTCTTTTGCATAAAAAAGTGAAATGTGGTGGTTCAAATATCGTTTTTCTAAAACTTGGGCTTAACTAAAATAGATTTTTTGGATAATATACATTGGCCCATGAGTTCCGAAGTTTAAAATTATTTTCTAAATTACTATTAAGTCTCACTACATTGTATTTTTCATTAAAAAAATACTTTTTTTTAAAATAGTGCAGAGGCAGATACACATCAGAATAGCCAATCCAAAACGAAGGACACAAATGGGCACAGTGTAGTTAGTTCCGATGGTGATTATGATCCGCATCTACATCGCAATGTACAAAATCCCACCACGTAAGTGTTTTCAGTATATATTGCTAGGCCAAGCATTTAAAAAATAAAGGAAATGAAAAATTTATAGAACTTTGCAAACATTTGCACATTTCCTGAAAGCCTCTATAGGATCGGGTGTTTTAGCAATGCCGAGTGCCTTCGCAAATGCCGGCTACATCACTGGACCCATACTGACACTAACCATTGGTTGCATTGCTGTACATTGCCTGCACATATTGGTAAGTAAGGGATTCAATTTTGAAGAATACGTTAATTTTTATAAAAAGAATGAATTTCGAAAAATTGAACAGAAAACTAGAAAATATCTTTCAAGCGATTTTTTGTTTCAACATTTACTTGATCTGATTCTATTTTCATACCCATAGATAAACTCCATGTACGAGCTGTGCAAGCGTAAACGTGTGCCATACCTAACGTTCTCCGAGGCAATGACGATTGGTTTGCATGAGGGCCCACCTATTTTCAAATGTGTCTTACCAATAGCAACGTATGTATGAAAAATAGGGATATCTTATATAATATCCGTATAAGATTAGGACATGAACACTTCTAAGGGTGAATTCTGTTTAGAACCATATCTTTAATGTCGAAAGTCTAAACAAAATTGCGTTAAGCGATAAGAAGTGAAGCCAACTTTAGAGACGACTTTCTTCTTATCGCATAAAGTATTTCTCAAAAATATTCCTGCAATGAAGCTCTTATAGCGTTTCCTCGACACTTTCCTAGTCGAATTTCACATTTTGATTCCACTATGCAATATCTTCACTTGATGACAGCATATTGACAAAATCTGATTAAGAAACCTAAAACTGATTCTATTGGATGATTGACTTAATTGTGGGATCATCCTTGGACACCGCTCAAGCAAAGGGGTTCTGAAATCCTTCGGGAACTCTTCTCTCAAACGCCCCCAAAGACTGCTCATCGTTGTTCCAATAAAACAGGGCGAGTACTGTGAGTGATTTCGTCTAACGCGGTTTAGCCAAGATTACAACAGCGCGTCAGTCGGTTCGAGATACCAAGTGCAGCCAGGTCCTTCTCTATCTGATCTCTCCGACGGAATGTTTCCACCGAATAACATGACCTAGCCAGTGTCTCGTGATTGGCTGAACTATCTCGTACATCTTATCATTCCATAGCCTGCGGTATTCGCCGTTGCCAAGGCGCAATGGACCATACATCTTTCACAGAACCTTTTTGTCGAAAACTCGTAACACCGTCTCATCAGATCGTGTCAGCGTCCATGCCTCTGCACCATATAGCAGGACGGGAAAATGAGTGACTTATAGAGTTTGTTCTTTGTTTGCCGAGAGAGAACTTTACTTTTCAATTGCCTACTCAGTTTGTAGTAGCACCCGTTGGTAAGATTTATTCTGCGTTGGATTACGAGGTTGACATCGTTGTTGCTGTTAATACTAGTCCCAACACAGACGAAATTATCTACTATAATAACTGATGACTTATGACTCTGAAAAAAGCTACTACCAGTATGGTTAAGCTCTGTAGCGCGGATTAACTTCTCAATCTTCATTCAATTAAAGAAATCGCACAATAAAATATTCCTTCGACTGAAGTCTCGTATGGTACCGAACGGTTCAGTAAGGTCCGTCATAAAAGTTTTCAGTTTTGTGTTATCAAAAGCAGCTTTGAGATTGACAAGAAGATAATGCCTGTTGATCTGTTTTTCTCGGGTCTTGTTCAGGAGATGGTGTATCGTGAATATCTGGCGATAGTCGATTTACCAGATCGGAAGCTACACTGTTAAAGTTCAATCAGTTTGCTGGCGTCCGAAATAGGTTCACTAAACGATAACTAATTCAATCATTAAATCAGCACACTCTATTGTACTTAATATATTTTTCAATTACCAAAACCACTGTTAGAGAATATGTTATATAAGTGATATGTATTGTGCGGTGTTCAATTGTAGTCCACTCGTTGACGGTTTTCTCGCCTTCTATCACTTTGGCGTCTGTTGTGTGTATGTGGTATTCATAGCGGAGAGCATCAAGCAGATTGTCGATGAGTATCTGGTGGTTTTGGATATACGGCTGCATATGTGCTTCATTTTAATACCGTTATTTTTGCTGTTCAGCATTAGAACACTGAAAACATTGGCGCCTTTCTCAACATTTGCCAATCTATTGCTCTTCGTAGGTGAGTGTGGCGCTGCAATACACTTGTTTAGTTTATGTATATAACTGTTAATGTGCTTATTGATACAGGTTTTGGCATTGTGCTTTATTATATTTTCGCAACGTTGCCGCCGATTAGCACACGTCAACCGTTCCAGGTTGTTTCCCGTTTACCAATTTTCTTTGGCACCGTGCTGTTTGCCATTGAAGCCGTCGGTGTGGTGAGTTACATACACTATAATATTTTGAGGAGATTATACGTGTCTTTAAGTCTAAATAATATTTAATGTTTTTGTTTACTTTCTTTTACACATTTTGTTTTACTAGATTCTTGCTATTGAAGGGAAAATGGAGAAACCCAAGTCTTATATTAAGCCTTTCGGTGTATTGAATGTTGGCATGGCAATTGTGCTCAGTTTGTATATTCTACTGGGATTCTTTGGTTACTGGGAGTACGGTGACGATGCTTTGGGCAGTGTGACTTTAAATATACCACAGCAGGCAATGTAAGCTAATATTTGATATCAAAAATTTGTAAAACCTTAAATATGTAATAGAAACAAAAAATATAACTCAGAAGATGGTTCACTTTGCAAGTAAGTACAAAGTAAAATCTTTCCCAAAGCCATGAAAATATTCTTGGAGCTAGCAGCAAATAACGAAGCACTGTCAAGGGGACTGCTGAAATGTATAATAATTATTTAGCTTTCGTAACTAAAGGGTGACTCATTTCAAGATTTCCTACTTTTTTTAAAGAAAAAAAAAACAACACAGAGACTTCTAATTTAATGGGGAATGTTTATTATCATTCGCATTTATTTTTTGAAGATTATCTGTTTCAAATGTTGGCCGGGGCTACGTCTCAGGTAGTCAATGCATTGAGTCCAATTTTCGGTGACACGTTCGAGTATTTCGACTGCTAGCTGGTAAATAACAGAACAGAAAATGACAAACTTTACCGAACTAACCTAAATCGATTTGGTTCTATAAATGCAATGGCTACGCCCCTAATGATCAACTAAGAATTATAATTGAATTCATCAAGTTCGATAGAAAAATTTCTGATAAATTCTGAAGCTCTTGATTTTTGTGAAGTGAGAGAGGAAAACTTGTGTAATTTTATACGATTTTTTTTTTTTGATTATTTCCTTATTTTGCTCATAATTTCTTGTTATTAATTGCTTAATTACTCTTAATTACTCTCTACTCAACTCAGTTTAGCTCAGGTCGCGAAAATCATCTTCGCCATTACCACATGGATTACATATGCATTACAGGGTTACGTTACGGCCGATATCATTTGGAATAAATATCTTTCGAAGCGCACAAAAGACACCTCCAAGCATGTGCTTTACGAGCTTCTGATAAGGGGCGGCATTGTTTTGCTGACGTGTAAGTAATTATAAAGCAATCACTATTCTAAGTTCATTTATAGTCGTGTTAAGTATTTTATAACTTTTAGCTATAATAATAAAATTACAGTTAATTGCCCATAATTAAATTTATTATCTGGTATTCTCTCGTAGTTTGCTTTGCTGTGGCAATACCGGATTTGTCGGTCTTCCTATCGCTTGTCGGCTCATTTTGTCTATCTATACTGGGTTTAATTCTCCCCGCATTGCTGCAGATCTGTGTACAATATGGCCTGGGATATGGCGTTTGGAAGCTGAAATTGGTAAAAAATGTATTTTTAATTGCATTTGGCATATTCGGTGGCATCATTGGCTCGTACGTTAGTATCGTACAGATTATCGAAAGCTATAACACGTAAAGTGGATAACTATAAAGCGGAATTATGAGGAAATCATTTAATTGTTAATTAAATTGTAATGTTAAGAAATAAAGTATTATTTACTGGAGTAAAAAAAAATATAAAAATTAAAAGAGATTTACCTTTAGGAATAGTCATTAGTCAGCTTGTCTTCCTGAAGTACATAAAGTGCATTATCCGATTTTTACGATGAGTGAAATTATTCCAGAAAGAGGTTCCATTAAATTTTGTGTTCGGAATCAAATTTTTGGCGTCGAAACGTTTAGAATGTTGAAAAAGGTCTTCGGTGATAATTGTTTGTCACGAGCAAGTGCTTCTTATTGCTACAAATTATTCAAAGTGTGTCGAAAACGCGTTGAAGATAAACCGTGTTCGGGACGGAAAGCTAATTTAGGCCTAAGAAAAGTGCAAACACGATTGGAAGAATCAGAGATGAAGAAGAGGAGGCAATGTGTTGGGATGCGTGAAGTCCCATCAAGTCCTGGTTATAGAACCTTAAAATTTTAAACCCTGGAGCGAGGTGTTATCAATATACTGCTTGAAAGCCGTTCGACTACGCTTATTGTCTCTTCTTTAAGTTATAGCTGGCATTCGAGAATGTGATGATACCACTCGGAAGACACTGCGTATGATGAACTTTCCTACCAATTAATGTGTACAATTTAAAGCACAAATGCTTTTTTTTTTAATATTGTTAATTTTTTCCACAAAAACTTCATTGCAAGCAGGTTGGCAATTTTAAATATTTACAATTATCCCAACAAAGCAACTTTAACGAAATGCAATTCCGTTTAAGGAGCAATTCTTTGCTTTTGCTGATTTTCGGCAGACGCCGTTACAGCCGTGTGGACACAAGTAATAATAAATTTCCATCATTTCCAGTCTTTGTATGCCTCAAGTTTCAATTGCAACTGTTCGCTTTCGATCCAAAGATAAATGGGTTTTACGCAAGGCCAATCGAGTCGATATTCAATATTTGAAGTGGTTGCACGGGGCAAAGTAACCAAAGTAACAAATTGGAAAAGAAGGCAAAGATGAACTGACACACATATATAACGGTACAGCGGCGTTGCGGGCTGATATCAAACATATATATTTTTTAAGCACCACCCCATTCGCACATACAAATCGATAAGTGTGTAAGTGTGTGAGTTGGTACGTACGCATGTAAGTTGCATGTATGTATGTTTGTAAGTATACTCGTATGTGCATGTATGTGTGTTTTCATATAAATGTGTGCGAATATGCAGTGAGATGTCGCTTGGATTGCGCCAACATTTGCCGCAAGTTCAATTGCCGGAGCGCACTTGCCCAATGATAGATAACCAAGCGGTCAGCTTGCGTTGACAATTCCATTACTGCGTTGGCTACTTGTCCGGCTCGCTCATTGTTTTTGTTACGGCTACATGGTTACGCTCACATTGTGCTTATTTTTCCGTCTCTCATTTGGCCAACCGCTTAATGCTTGCACGATATTTCCCGAAGCGATATTTGATGGAACTTTAACAATGCGAAATCGATCAGCAAAAATGCTCCGTGGGTGAAAGTGCTAAGGGCTGCGCTGCTATTGTTGTATGTTTGTGGTGGAAAGTGACCATGTGCGTATATTAATGCATGTAGGCTTCCAACCAACCATTCGGGGTGTTTGTATGGCATTCATGTGTTTAATATTAAAGGTTACGCAATGTTCGCAAAAATCGATTTTTTTTTTATCGGAAAAAGTTCACTAACAGCCCGCTAAAACAAAACGTTAAATTTGAGTTTTTGATATGGTGCAAAAAACAGTTTTTTGTTAGGAATTTTTTTTATTATTTAAATTGACTTCGCGATTTCCCATAATTAGTCGGGAAACGTCCGCCTAGAATTTCTTTTAGAACTCCTCGGAATACAAACTGGGATTTGTATCGAAAAACACTGCGACAAATTCTGCGAAAATTAGAAGGCTGCCACGAGTTCTCTATATTCAGGCGTATTCTCGCCGTCCCCCCGGGATATTTTAAGGACACAAATGGGAAGTGAGCCCTGAGAAGTGATGATGCTCTCCGTATGTCTCATGATGCTCACTTCCTAAGCAAAACGTCCTCGAAATAGCTGATGAGATTGCCAAAAGTGCTAATCATCTGGCTACCAAACAGGAAATGCGCAAGTCGCTAAAAACGATACACTGAAATTTTCTAAGGGGCTGATACACGGATTGATGGAAGACCTCAACATTGCAGATCGTTACGATCATGTGCAAGAGCATCGAAAAACAAGAAATAATCTTGACTTTGGCTGCACCGAAGCTAATATACCCTTCACATGTGCATTTACTTTAGTAATTGTGTGTCCAGTTTGTATGGAAGCTCTATGTGTTATAGTAATCCGATCTGAACATTTTTTTCGGAGATTACGTTATTACCTTAAGCAGTAATCCATGTAAAATTTCTTGAAGATACCACGACAAATGTGATAGTTTTCCATACAAGCCCTTGATTCCGGTCGTTCCTTTTGTATGGCAGCTATATGCTATAGTGAGCTGATCTGAACAATTTCTTCGGAGATTACATTGTTGCCTTAGCAAATAATTTGTACAAAATTTTGTGAATATATCTTGTCAAATGCAAAAGTTTCCATACAAGCCCTTGATTACGATCATTCAGTTTGTATGGCAGCTATATGTTGTAGTGGTCCGATATCGGCAGTTTCGATAATTGAGCAGCTTATAGAAGAGAAAATGACGTTTACAAAATTTCAAAACCATATCTTAAAAACTGAGGGACTAAAGTATACTCAGAACATACGAGCGCTATTTGTGTTGTTTACAGTAACTAAAAATATTCATTTCGGCCAAAGAATAGCGTTAAATCATTTTCACGTGATTTTTTGTTTAAATTTTTTGATGTGTATTATCTCAGCAAAAGTTCATCGTTGAACCTAATTCGATTGTTGACGATAAAGCTCCGTCAAAGATCAGTTTTTATCGATGATATGGTGAATTCAATCGAGGTCGTACATATATCCCTTGAAGACGAGTTTCGTCAAGATCTTCCAAAATCAGTTGAGGAAACTATTGCTGCAGAACGCAAATTAATATTGCAAGATCGTCATGTGGCCTGTCGAAAGATTGAGACAACTTTAGCCATTAGTGGGGCCAGCATACATTCAATATTGCATGAACATTTGATTTGAGATTATTTCACATAGGATCCCACACAATTTATCGATCGCTCAAAAAAGGTTTGGTCGAGAGAAATGTTAAAAAAAAAGATAACAGTACTTCGAAACACTTCATCACACAATTATAACTAGGCACTTTTATTGCGGAAGAATTAAGTAAAACTCGCCGCATAAATATTATTCTGCGAGCAATAAATAATTATAATCAAACAACTCTTATTTAGCAAGCGTAAGGAAAATCGAAATAAAGGGTGATCCATTTCGAAGTTCCCTGCCATTTTAAATAAAAAACACAGAAACTTCAAACTAAATGGGGAATATTTATTAAACTTTAGGCTTTACATATGCATACAGGAAAAATTGTAACGGTGTGATATCACCCGATCTTGGTAGCCAATTGACCGACCCAAAACGTGAAATTAATTGCTCACCGTAGTGTTCTCTCAATAAATCCATTGATAGATGAGATGTGTAGGAAGTGGCGCCGTCTTGTCGAAACCAAATGTTGCCGAGATCGTGAGCTTCAATTTCTGGCGTCAAATAGTTGGTTATCATGGCGCAATTGATCCACCGGCCCACAAACCATACCAAACCGTTCTATTTTTCCGGATGAAATGGCAGCTCTTGAATCTCTCAGGTTGCTCTTTGCCCCAATTTTGGGGCCTCATGGCAGAACAAAACCTGGCTCGAAAACGTCGATTAATCTTGGAATTTTTCAAGAGCTCAAAAGGCTATTGAAACAAGTACCTCTACTTTGACTACCTGTTACTTCATAATTAGCATTTAAACTAATAATTCAGAGTAGACATAAGCCTAGGCAGAGTAATCATTTTTTCATCCCTATAATTTCAAAGTACCCATAATAAAGTATTCAAAAAACTGAGTTCTCCTATATTTTGAATAAACGATTTTTTTTTTTTGTACAGTTTTAAGCAACGAACTCAAAAGCAAGCAAAAACATATTGAAAACTTCGATACGCTTCAGTTCCGTCAGAAAGCAGAAAGCAACTGGGAACGCTCTGTTTTTCATTTTCTCTTCATGCTTAATTCGTTGCAATTTTGAACTTTATCGAATGGGAAATTGGCTGAGTGGGATTTCGCTTAACTTTCTGGTTTCTTCGTTTCAAACAATTTTAACTTTACAACTGTTTTTACAGTGGCGCATACAAATATGTGTACTTGTGTGTGTCTGTATTTATGCACATATTGTACATTTCGAAATTCTTTTGTAGCTACTTGCACAATGTCATTTATGCCCCTCCCCGTCGATAAGTGATTTTCTGGCAAAAGAATAAAGTTAAGTCAAACAAGCCAGGATGAAATGATTCGATTCGATAAATACAATATGCAATGGTCGTATTTTCCATTAGAGCACGAAGTGAAGAGCATGCTAACAGCTGCTGTGATTGCACTGTGCTCTGGTCCAGTGAGCGCTTGTTAGTCGCTGGTGCCGTTGCGTATGATTCTTTTAGGGAACAATATAATTTATTTAAGAAGGGCGACCAAATATGGGGTGAAAGGAAAAAGGAGGGTGGAGGAAAAAAGTAAAATATTATATAATTAAAAAATATATTTCCATTCGTTCTAATACCCTTCCTTACAATTTAGTTGCGTATACGCAGTGTTTCACTCAATATATGGACCGTCAATTGTAATTAGAAGCATTTCGGAGGATAAGCAACTTAGTCAGGCCAACCAAAACTATTTGCTGAAATGAGAGAAAAAAGAACTGTTAACTTCGGCTGCACCGAAGCATTTCTTATACTAATTAAGGTACAAAAATCTTTAACTCCTTTTGGATCGGCCAGTTCGTATGAGAGCCGAACTAAAGCATAAGTGGGCCGATTTGCAAATTTGGACCTTGGACAATAATCCTTGGCACATTTTTCGGATCGATCAGCTTGTATGATAGACGGTGT